CGCTGTAGCCTCTATATATATGCCCCTGGCTGAGTCCTAGTTACCCCACCCCCCACAGAGTTAAAGAGCTAATTCAAAATCCCTCTACTAATTAACCTTCTGCAGGCTGGGAGGTATTTATATCCTGTGCTTGAAGATGGAGTGACAAAGGGAGGGGGTGAGGAGGGGGGGGTGAGGAGGGGGAGAGGAAAAAGTCAGGCTGGATGAAAAATTAATGTAGGTGAGGATGGGGGAGAGACGAGGGTGAGGATGACAGGTGACATTATTATCATGTTGTTATCATGTTATAACTTCTAATGTTGGTTATTTCACATCATTCTTTCTCCCTCTGTATTGAGGAGGAGGGTGAGGGTGAAGGTGAGGGTGAGGGTGAAGGTGAGGGTGAGGGTGAGGGTGAGGGAGAGGGTGAGGGAGAGGACCAGTGAGGACCAGTAGCGTGTTGGGGTCCATGGTTTCAGGTGTCCATGGTTGCCGTGTCACCTTTGTCTCTCACCTCCACCCTCTTATGAAGGCTGCTGGGGGGTGGGTGAGGGGTAAGGTTACCTGGCTGTTGCCCCCTGCTGGGGCGGCTCTTTATCACTTCTGGTTCCAGTCACTCACAGTCCAGAGTCTGGACTGTGGAGAGACCAGGACCAGGTTCTGGTCCTGATTGGACGGGGCAGAGGACAGGCTGTAGTTACCCCTGGAGGGAGCAACAGGGCGTCAGGGGCAACGGCCTTCATCACACCACCACCGCACCCAGGAACCTGGTACCGTTTGCTGGTACCATTGACACTGTCACTGCAGTATGACCTCTGACCTTACTGTGTGGACCAGTGTCAACAAGTGTTTACTTTGATGTGATCAGATATAAACCCAGAACTGTTCTCCTGGTTGTCAGTTGAAATCCCACGGGCCCAGCTTCGCTCGTCTCCACGCCCCCTGGCCAGTACTCTGTCGAGAAGCCGAGTTCCTCAAGATTAAAGTTCCCACTAAAACGGTACAATCGGTTCCATCAGTCAGTGCTTGTTTGTGAGGTTGAAAAGTTCTGTTAAAATAAACGGTTCCACTGCTTCGTTTTAACCAGAGCTACGTGATCAAAGAGGAGGCGGGCTTTGGGTCCAGAACTGTTTGGAAGAAACTCAGTCGACCTTTTCAGCCCAACGTTCCTCAAGAACACGAACGGACCAAGTTCCTGTCGCACTGTTTCTCCAGGGACAAACTCCATCTGTGAGGCTCACACACACACACACACACACACACACACTGGAACCAGGAACTGTTCAGAACCCTGAACACAGCCCGACTAAAACCTGTTGACACTGATGTTCTGATGGTACTCATTCCAGGTACAACATCACGTCTGAAGACACTTTCTTTGACAACGCAACGAGAGGCCGAATAGTAAGTCTCCACTACTGGTCCAGTGCTGGTCCACTGCTGGTCCACTGCTGGTCCACTGCTGGTCCACTGCTGGTCCACTGCTGGTCCACTGCTGGTCCACTGCTGGTCCACTGCTGGTCCACTGCTGGTCCACTGCTGGTCCAGTGCTGGTCCAGTACTGGTCCAGTGTTTTTCCAGTCTTGTGACTGTTGTCACCGACTGTTGTTCTTCCACAGGTCTATGAGATCCTGAGGAGAACAATGTGTGAACGAACCTGTCAAACCATAGGTAAGGAGTACACTGTACTGCATGTACTGCATGTACTGCATGTACTGCATGTACTGTCCTCTGTGGTCTGTCCTCTACACTCCATTGTATCTGTGGACAGTGTCAGGTCTACGTCAACACCAGTCTGTGTCTAGTCTACGTGAAATATAGATTTGTTTATGTGTTGATGGTTTCCTCGTAGATGGTTTCCTCGTAGATGGTTTCCTCGTAGATGGTTTCCTCGTAGATGGTTCCCTTGTTGATGGTTTCCTTGTCGATGGTTCCCTTGTCGATGGTTTCCTTGTCGATGGTTTCCTTGTCGATGGTTCCCTTGTCGATGGTTCTCTTTGCCTTTATCAGGACCATCGACTCAGCACAGACACAGTTCTGACCATATGTCTGTTTGG